GCAGCAATGGGAGGCCGTACAGGGACCCATGAGAGACTCTGGACCTGGCAGCAGCATGAGGAGGCGGTACAGGGACCCATGACAGATTACGGGCCTGGCAGCAGCATGAGGAGGCGTTACAGGGGCCCATGGCAGATTACGGGCCTGGCAGCAGCAATGGGAGGCCCGTAATCTGCCAGCACCCTATGACAAAATGGAACCCACCAGCAGTGTGAGGAGACCTGAAAGTGGCACATGGCAGAGTGTGGCGATGGAGACATGGGCCCCCTGGCCACGCTTGACTTTCTGGCCACATAGTCGACATACGGCTACGTTTACTTCCTCGGGCGGCTTGACGAAAAATTGCCACACGCCGAGTAGGAAACTTTGCCCCCGCTACTCCTCACTGGCTGACTGCTACTTCCTCCGTGCACACCGGCACCACTACTGGCCGTGGTGGTAGGCTGCAGTGGAGCTGGTGCTCTACTCCGTGGCCGTTTGCCTCCACTGACACTGCTGCGACCCTGCTGCCTCCTGGGCAACCCACCGACTGTTTTGCTCGCTGCCAAGCTGGCACCCTCTTCTCCTGATGATGCGGAAGCAATAGCCTGATGACGACGAGGCTGCCAAGTGCGATCAGCCTCATCATCATCAATTAGGGTCTCCGCCTCACTACTAGCCCCCTTGGCTGCGTGTGGGTCAGGAGACAGACCTGTCTCTAGACCGGCTACCGAGCCACTCTCCTCGCCACTACTTCTTCGCCTGGCTGCTGAAGAGGCGGATGTCTCCCCCCATTCCTGACCGCCCTCTGTTAGCTCTTCCTCACTGTACAGTGGGGCTGAGCCCACAGCATGCGATACTTCGCTTGGTGAGGGAACACCAAAGGACAGGGGCAGGTAGAGGACACGTGATTTCAGTGGGCTTGCTCCCGGGCCATGCCAACTAACGGTTGTGTCTGACGTACCCACCGACCGTTGGCTGTAGGTGTCAGAGGTGACCTGGGAAGAGGAAGACGACCGAGCCAACCAATCGATGACGGCAGGGTTGTCGGTGGAGACACGACCGCTGGATGACACCGGGAGCACTGGCCTCTGGCTGCGACTAGTGCTGCCTCGACCCCTTCCTCTGCTGCCACATCTGCTCGCTCCTAAAACATGGCCTCCTCTGACACTCCTCTGCGTGTTGTCTGACATACTCTTTAATTCAACGATTCTGTGTCCCTGAGTAACGATTCTGTGTCCCTGAGTAACAGTTCTGTGTCCCTGAGTAACAATTCTGTGTCCCTCAGTAACAATTCTGTGTCTGTCCCTGAGTAACAATTCTGTGTCCCTGAGTAACAATTCTGTGTCCCTCAGTAACAATTCTGTGTCCTTCAGTAACAATTCTGTGTCCCTCAGTAACAATTCTGTGTCCCTCAGTAACAATTCTGTGTCTGTCCCTGAGTAACAATTCTGTGTCCCTCAGTAACAATTCTGTGTCCCTCAGTAACAATTCTGTGTCCCTCAGTAACAATTCTGTGTCTGTCCCTGAGTAACAATTCTGTGTCCCTCAGTAACAATTCTGTGTCCCTCAGTAACAATTCTGTGTCTGTCCCTGAGTAACAATTCTGTGTCCCTGAGTAACAGTTCTGTGTCCCTGAGTAACAATTCTGTGTCCCTGAGTAACAGTTCTGTGTCCCTCAGTAACAATTCTTTGTCCCTCAGTAACAATTCTGTGTCCCTCAGTAACAATTCTGTGTCCCTCAGTAACAATTCTGTGTCTGTCCCTGAGTAACAATTCTGTGTCCCTCAGTAACAATTCTGTGTCTCTCAGTAACAATTCTGTGTCCCTCAGTAACAATTCTGTGTCCCTCAGTAACAATTCTGTGTCCCTCAGTAACAATTCTGTGTCCCTCAGTAACAATTCTGTGTCTGTCCCTGAGTAACAATTCTGTGTCCCTCAGTAACAATTCTGTGTCCCTCAGTAACAATTCTGTGTCTGTCCCTGAGTAACAGTTCTGTGTCCCTGAGTAACAGTTCTGTGTCCCTCAGTAACAGTTCTGTGTCCCTGAGTAACAGTTCTGTGTCCCTGAGTAACAGTTCTGTGTCCCTGAGTATCAATTCTGTGTCCCTCAGTAACAATTCTGTGTCCCTCAGTAAACAATTCTGTGTCCCTCAGTAACAATTCTGTGTCTGTCCCTGAGTAACAATTCTGTGTCCCTCAGTAACAATTCTGTGTCCCTCAGTAACAATTCTGTGTCTGTCCCTGAGTAACAATTCTGTGTCCCTGAGTAACAGTTCTGTGTCCCTGAGTAACAGTTCTGTGTCCCTGAGTATCAATTCTGTGTCCCTCAGTAACAATTCTGTGTCTGTCCCTGAGTAACAATTCTGTGTCCCTCAGTAACAATTCTGTGTCCCTCAGTAACAATTCTGTGTCTGTCCCTGAGTAACAATTCTGTGTCCCTGAGTAACAGTTCTGTGTCCCTGAGTAACAATTCTGTGTCCCTGAGTAACAGTTCTGTGTCCCTGAGTAACAGTTCTGTGTCCCTCAGTAACAATTCTGTGTCTGTCCCTGAGTAACAATTCTGTGTCCCTCAGTAACAATTCTGTGTCCCTCAGTAACAATTCTGTGTCCCTCAGTAACAATTCTGTGTCTGTCCCTGAGTAACAATTCTGTGTCCCTGAGTAACAGTTCTGTGTCCCTGAGTAACAATTCTGTGTCCCTGAGTAACAGTTCTGTGTCCCTGAGTAACAATTCTGTGTCCCTGAGTAACAATTCTGTGTCCCTCAGTAACAATTCTGTGTCCCTCAGTAACAATTCTGTGTCTGTCCCTGAGTAACAATTCTGTGTCCCTGAGTAACAGTTCTGTGTCCCTGAGTAACAATTCTGTGTCCCTGAGTAACAGTTCTGTGTCCCTGAGTAACAATTCTGTGTCCCTGAGTAACAATTCTGTGTCCCTCAGTAACAATTCTGTGTCTGTCCCTGAGTAACAATTCTGTGTCCCTCAGTAACAATTCTGTGTCCCTCAGTAACAATTCTGTGTCTGTCCCTGAGTAACAATTCTGTGTCCCTGAGTAACAGTTCTGTGTCCCTGAGTAACCGTTCTGTGTCCCTGAGTATCAATTCTGTGTCCCTCAGTAACAATTCTGTGTCTGTCCCTGAGTAACAATTCTGTGTCTCTCAGTAACAATTCTGTGTCCCTCAGTAACAATTCTGTGTCTGTCCCTGAGTAACAATTCTGTGTCCCTGAGTAACAGTTCTGTGTCCCTGAGTAACAATTCTGTGTCCCTGAGTAACAGTTCTGTGTCCCTGAGTAACAGTTCTGTGTCCCTCAGTAACAATTCTGTGTCTGTCCCTGAGTAACAATTCTGTGTCCCTCAGTAACAATTCTGTGTCCCTCAGTAACAATTCTGTGTCCCTCAGTAACAATTCTGTGTCTGTCCCTGAGTAACAATTCTGTGTCCCTGAGTAACAGTTCTGTGTCCCTGAGTAACAATTCTGTGTCCCTGAGTAACAATTCTGTGTCCCTGAGTAACAATTCTGTGTCCCTGAGTAACAATTCTGTGTCCCTCAGTAACAATTCTTTGTCCCTCAGTAACAATTCTGTGTCCCTCAGTAACAATTCTGTGTCCCTCAGTAACAATTCTGTGTCTGTCCCTGAGTAACAATTCTGTGTCCCTCAGTAACAGTTCTGTGTCCCTGAGTAACAGTTCTGTGTCCCTGAGTATCAATTCTGTGTCCCTCAGTAACAATTCTGTGTCCCTCAGTAACAATTCTGTGTCCCTCAGTAACAATTCTGTGTCTGTCCCCTGAGTAACAGTTCTGTGTCCCTGAGTAACAGTTCTGTATCCCTGAGTAACAATTCTGTGTCCCTAAGTAACGATTCTGTGTCCCTAAAGTATCTGTGGCCCTAACTCTGTCCCTAATACAGAGAGGTCTGTCTCTCTTGAATGACCGGAGGCAAATGGAGAATTGTAAGATGGCCGCAATTTATAGCTCCACCATTACACAGTGCTGGCTGGCTGGCTGCTGATTGGCTAATGCGATCACATGTCATGAATGAATGCATTATGGGTCAGCGCGCCTTGTCTGCACGCCTTCCCAGAGATCCCCGCTCCGTCGCCACACATGTCGCCGCCATTTTTGGAAAAATTTCGATTCGCGCATCCGAAGTCTGCTAATTTTCGGATTCGGCGCGAATCAAATTTTTTCTAATATTCGAAACTAATTCCACTTCGCCAAGTTCGATTCGCTCATCTCTAATTGTGAGATAGTCATGATTTACTGAAGGCTGTTCATTTAGCAAGACAAATTATCCTTTTACATGGGAATTTGTACCAGAGCTTAGAGGATGTAGTAAAATCTCACTTTCAAGAGAATACCCGATCACACGCAAGGAAAACTAAAAAAAACAAACCTGCATTTACTTTCACCTGACTGGATGATGGAAGTCAGCAGAGCTTCACCTCGTTCACTAAGCTCATTCACTAAGTTCACTAAGTGAACAGTCTATTTGCCTTTATTAAATCGACCCAAGACCCTCGTTCGTTTGAAATGTTTTCCTATGTGTTACGGAATGGTAATATCTTATTAATATTCATAGTCAATATATTATTAGTGTTCAAAGGTAAATATTTTCTGTGGAACAACTCACTGTTGTCAGCTCATGCACTTTTTAAGGTAGGTTACAACATTTCTTGGAGGTCACAAAGATAATGATCAAAGATAGATCTATAAAACAGATGCATATCAGACTTGGTGTACACAGGGCAGGGACACTATAAATGTCTCTTTTTCAAGTACAGCATGTATGGCAATCAGTGATAAGATCTGCAATCTCATTGTGATTTGAAGATAAATACATCTTCAAGAATTTCAGTTTCAAGGTTTCTTAATACAATGGGGTTTGCAGAGAGGTAAGGGAAAATGTTGGTGTTGCATTCAAACTCAAGAATAGGATGTTAATTTTATCACATTTTACTTACTATTAACATAAAATGTGAATTTTTATGTATTTGTATCAGATAAATTATTTTTTCCCACAGGATAACTTGAGCACAGATGACAACTTTGTTTTTCTGACAAATATGGCTACAAATCATGTTCAGATTTTGGTGGAGTTTACAAAGAAAATTCCAGGTATTCATATTTATAAATATCAATCTATAAATAATAGATTTTCATAATCCTAAACTAAAAGCCAACATATTTGTGCCTATAATCTATGATTTGGATGTTATATTTGAACATACACTGAATAACTTTCCTTAGAAGTTATATATGGCCAACTGATAGGAGGCTTAAAGCCGAACTCCAGAAAACTTGAAAATTACCCATTTCAGTGTGGCTGTGCCTGCACTGCATGGGTTTCATTGCTTGCCCTGTCTAGGGGGAATAAAAACACTTTTACTTACCTGAACCTCCACTTATCTGGCAGACAGCACTCGCCTACATTCCATTGGTGAGCTGTCCCTCTGCGTCATCAAGCCCAATGCAGGACTATGGACTGTGCACGGGTCTTTATGTTGTCAGAACTTCTTTTGAATGAACCCAGTTAAATTGTTTCCATGTATTTCTGGGGACTATTGACCCACCACCCCCAAACTCTATGTTATAAAGAAGAGAAGAGGTGTTGATAGTACAGTCCAATGGTGACAATGCTGCTTTTTCATAGATGTGATGAACAAGCATCGTCACCCTAGGACAAGAACTGTGTTGTTGGCAGAATCACTTGGTAAAAAAAAGGAAAAAAATGTCTGAAAAAAGAAACACTTCACTCAGCAGTGAGTAAGGAAGCAGAAGTTAGAAGCAGGAGATTTCTCCAATTTATGAAGATTTCCCCTCTTAAATGGTTGTCACTTAAACAGGTTTCCACATTGAAGTTTTCTCCTCACCCTCTGTTCCTATGACACCAGGGATGTTATTCCCATCACTTTTTGTTCTAATGACAATGTTCTAGCCCTTTATCACTCTATGCAGAACTAAAGAAATTGATTTACACACCTAATTGTGTGTGAATTTGTAGGCAGTTGTTGAGCTGCAGTTTATCTGCCGACCTGAAGGTGGTACTGTGCCATTATTAAAGCTGGCAGACCATTAGGGACTAATTTGTCCCCTATTATGGGTTCCAAGCGCTCATCTTTGGGTAATTGTCAACTCCTACTGGATGCTGAAAACCCTTGAGATTTAGGAGCCATCTTGACACAGAAGTGCTTAAATAGAGATAGAGCCTGCTGGTTGAGGAGAGAGTAGAAGCAGTGTTAGAAAGAGAAACCTAATGAGGAGGAGAAGAATAGGTTTCTCTCTTACAGGAAATTCCTTCTGCCAGCTTCTTGGAACTGCAAAAATTTGGGGATCACTGGGTGACCCAGTAATCTGATACCTCCTCCAAGGAAAGTGTTGCTCAGGCCTTCTGAAGTCTGTAAGCACATGTTGTAGCACTATTGAAAAGGTGCTATGACGGTAAACATTAAATGTTTTGCCTGAAGAAGTGTATGACCTATAATATGTGTAGTGCCATTGCTGTAAACTACCTTATTTATGTGATCATTCTAATTCTACAACATAAATACTAAGTTATCAACGTGTGACTCCCAATTCGCAGATACAATGTCTAAGCTCCGCTCATAAAAATAAGTTCAGCAGGACAGCATAAAAACACTCCTTTAGTAAATCAACATGCAAATGGTTACTTAAGTGATTATAACATGTATATTTTATGCAGGTTTTCAAACATTAGATCATGAAGATCAGATTGCTTTACTGAAAGGCTCTGCGGTTGAAGCTATGTTTCTTCGTTCTGCTGAGTTCTTCAATAAGAAATTAATCAATAGCCACACTGAGGTCCTTGAAGAGAGAATTCGGAATAGTGGTAAGATCAGACTGTGAAAATTAATTTTCTCACATGCTTCATACATTATTAATCATGTCTGGATTCAGTAGACTTGTTTAATGACACTGATAACAATCACAACTAGTACATCAAGTGAGTGTCTTTTGTCTTTCGTTTTCTATCAATACCTGATGTAATACCACTGTGCTCAATGTTTGCTTTGTATTATTCAGTTGTGTCTGTGACGCACACATTGCTTTTTGCATAATAATACATGGAATCTCTTCTTTATATGTTTTGATATTTAGATGCTTTACTGTGTTCTTAATTAATCTAATTATAGACTGAAAGATAAAACTGCGGAATAACACTTGCATTCACCATGAAAGTGAAATCATGCAGTGTTAGGCCTAGTCACCTGCAGTGTCCAGTGTGATCAATTTTGTTTGTTCACTATTGGGAGACCAGTGCAGGAAAGCAAATTGTTCCTCTTCTAGGCTGTCTTGACTGCGCAGATCTAAAGCTGGCCATACACCATTAAAATTCTGTTCAAAAAATGTTTGTTTTTGTTCAATTTTCTAATAGTTAAAAGGGTCAAATCAATGACTTTTTGACCACAGTGATGAAAATAATCAAAGAAGCAGAATGGAAAGATTTTGTGGAATGATATTCTAACACCGAATGTAATTTTCATTTGGGAAATCCCATTAATTCCAAACTTGAATGTTAAAGAAGTGTGGGAATACAAAAAAAAACAAAAACTATACTCACCTCCCATCTGTAGCCTCGGTGTGTTGTTGCAGCTGTCCCATGGTGGTTCTTCACCAGAGAGCACTCAGTTCTTGATCAGCTCTGAGCAGTTAGCAGAGACTGTCACTAGGCACACAGCACTCCCATAAAGGCTGCATTCACCTCTATCTAAAAGGGTAAGTTGTCCCTGCCTCTTTCACACCTTGCTGGCTAATTTAGACAAGTGCCTTTTCCCCTGTACTAATCTGCTAGCCAAAGAGGTGTCCTCTGTAATGAGGAGCAGCTTGTTATGGCAGAAGTTATCACACCAGCTGTCTGGGGTCTGTGGCCTGACCACTGTTCACACACCCTGGGCTCTGTACAATGGCCTGGGGACAGCAGTGTCAATCCAGGGTAAAAAAAGGGAGAGAATCTCCCACATGGAAGAAAAATGTATTTGAAATATATTTTAAAAAAATTCTTGCCAAATATATTACCATATATTTGAAATGTTACAATCCTGGCCATATTCAATATATTTCAAAATATATTTAAATAAATAAATAAAGACATACAGTGTGTGTGTGTGTGTGTATATGTGTATATATATATATATATATATATATATATACACTGAATGTTGAAATGCGTTTTTATTACAAAATATATGAAAAATATTTTTATAAATACATTTCAAATATAATGTATGCCTTTAAAAATACAAATCTACATTTTTGGAATTCATTTACAAATATATATGTTAAAATGGCTTTTTTGTATGTTAAAAAAATCTGAAGAATATATTTAAAAATATATATATTTTTTTAAAAAATATATTTTTTAAATATATTCTTTAGATTTTTTTAAACATATAAAAAAGTCATTTTAACATATATGTTTACAGATATTTGTAAATGCATTTCAAAAATGTAGATTTGTATTTTTAAAGACATACAGTATATTTGAAATGTATTTTTAAAAATATTTTTCATATATTTTGAAATAAAAACACATTTCAACATGCAATATATATATATTTTATATATATATATATATATATATATATTATACAGTATTTATAAAGTGCCAATAGTTCGCTCAGCGCTGTACATTACAATGGGGGACAGAACAATAACAATACAATACAAAACATGAGGGGATCGAGGGCCCCGCTCTTTTGAGCTTACAATCTAGGAGGGAGGGGATGGTGGCACAGGAGGAGAAAGCTGTGGGGGATGGAGTGGTAGGAATAATGGAGGATATATAATATATATATATATATATATATATATATATTTAAAATATATATATTTATTGAAATATATTGAATATGGCCAAAATTGTAGCATTTCAAATATATGGCAATATATTTGGGAAGCATATTTTTAAAATATATTTCAAATATGGTTTTCTTACATGTGGGATGTCACTAGCTTCACCCCTTTTGCCAATTTTACCCACAGACAGCCCCTGTGTTCCGGCTGAAAAAAGGCCTGATTGCGATACAATAGAATAAAATTAAAATCCAAATTTATATAAAAACAATCTCCATAGTAAGCTCATTTTAAGACACTAGACAGCATAACAAATAACAGATTGTCAATGTTTTTTTTATTATTGTGCAAATTATAATGCTAATTAACATTAACAATATCAGAAAGAGATAAAAGAAAGGGATAGAAAAGAAGGGGGAGAATAAAGGATGGAGGGGGTTTTGAGGAGTGTTATAGAGAACAACAGATAAAACAGCAATTGCTACTATTTACTCACAGACTCTTCCTTTTCCCTAATGTTAAGCAGAGCACAGTCAGTGCTTGAGCATATGGTGCCATCTTATGGGAACCACTGGTACTTCAGTGTCTAACTACTCTGACTATAGTAAGATTGTAATGTTAGTACAGCCTAATGAACTCCTCCAGTAGGCTGTCACCAGTTCCATGGCTTTATATAAGGTCATAATGAAAAGGCTATAGAAAGAAGACAACCTTTTCAGGTGTCCCTTTATAGGGCAAAAAAGAAGGGAATGCCATTACTCAATTTGGTACTGGATCTTGGCTGCCTAAATATAATAGCTTGACTAACAAAATTCTGACCAAAGGCCATTTTTGAGAGTATATACCATAGAAAATTATGTTGACCGATGGCACAAAAAAAGTGAAACAATGTTTTCCATTTTGGGTTTGAAAAAGGGGGTTGTTTAGCAAGGTATTTCATCTCTAAATTACATTTATAAGACCGTTTTGTTCTCGCTATCGTAAAAATAATCAGATCGGAAGTTTACAACTTTCATGTCCAGTCTTTTTCAGACATCTTACAGCCAGACTATGTTTACTGCAATTTATAGATCATGATGGTGTAATGAAAAAGAACTCTGAAGAAAAAGCTTTTATTCAGAAATAAATACATTTCTGTTATTAACGATCTGCTCTTTTTGTTCTAGGTATATCTCTTGAATACATTAATCCCATGTTTAGTTTTTATAAGAGTCTCGGGGAGCTGAAGATGACTGAGGAAGAGTATGCATTGCTCACTGCAGTTGTGATTCTCACACCAGGTACATTATCAATAAACAACAATTATCAATACCTGAACAACATTAGTGTACTAATATATTTTTTTTTAAGAGAAGGAATGTTTATTGAAATAATAAACCATTATACATGTGAATTGCAATAACATTGCTACAAAAAGAGAGAAACATGTTTCACAACAGAATCATCAACTAACAATTGTTTACTTCAACCAGTCAACAGCAGGTCACAAAGAATTGACAAACAGCACATTACATGATAAAAAAATACAGCCTGGAGAGGGGAAGAGGGAGGCGGAAGGTGGAAACATGGGCAGTAAGAGGGAATATACAATTAGAAAGAGGGAGAAACAACAGGCAGATATAGGGTAGACCAGAAGGAAAGTGTATATCTAGGGAGGGACTTACATGCAGAAAACTCACTTAGGGGGTACCAGGGATGGGGGGGCGACTAAGCAACCAAGGGGAAGATAGCACTCAAATAAAGTGTAACAGCACGAGATGTCTCACTTCCACCCAGGATAACCAAAGCTTGCTAAACTTTTTTAGGGCAATTACGTCCCACGTAGGTCAGCTTGTATATAGGAAAATTACATTGATCATGGAACTCCAGACAGAAACTGTAGAAGGGTCCAGCAATTTTCCATTTAGACAAAATAATTTTCCTTGCATAATAAGCGGCATAGAAAACAAAGAGTTTGGTACGGGTGGTGGTAGGTAGGTTATCGGTTACACCCAGTAATAAGATCAAGGGGTCCACTTCTAAATAAAGGCTGCTAATCCCTTTAACATCATCCATCACTGCTCGCCAAAAGGTCTGGAGTAGGGAGCAGGACCATACACATTTAGGGCACACTGCATCAGTGGTGCGGTAAATGACCCGACAACCTCTGAGGCATATAGTACACCCTGTGAAGAAACTGTAATTGTATAAGTCTGTCTTTAGCTGAAATCATAAGGGGAATATATTGCTGTAGGCCCTCGGTTCAGTCCTCCTCTGTTAAATTAGGGACATCTCTCTTCCAGGCAAGGTAGGTCCGCGTCGTCGTGCTAGTGGTGCCCCTGCAGGTCAACATTAGATAGAAGATAGAGGTCTGATCCGCAGTGCGCATCACCAGGAGCTTCTCAACCAACTGGGAAGCTAGGGCTATGGGAGCAGGGAACTGCGCCCTCACCGTGTGTCTCAGCTGTAGATATCTGAAGTACATCCAGGGAGGAAAACAAAAACGACGCTTCAACTCCATAAAGGAGAGAAGACGTCCTTCCGGCATAACAGGTCTCAAGGTCCGAATGTCATACCAGGCCCAAACCTGTGGGTCAGGTACTGTCTGCAGGTGAGCAAGGGATGGATTGCCCTATAGTGGAGTATGAGGGAAGACAGTCTGGGGTGCACTAAGAAGTGTGGTAACCTGCTTTCGGATTCTAATCGTAGTTTTTATCTGCAGTGTTATATTTAGGTTAGAACGTGAGCCTCTGTAAACCAGATTGCTAAGTTCTGAATAAGACCCAAGGAGCGCCACCTCTAAATTCACTGCAGTATTTGAGTGATATTGGGCAAACCACCATTGCACAGATACCAAGACCCCTGCCCAATAATATTTCTTAAAACACGGCAGAGCAAGTCCTCAGCCAGAGGGAGCTGCAGAGTGGATCTAGCCACTCCTGGAACAGAGTCTGCCCAAATGAAGGAAGTGATGGCTTGATCTAATTTAAGAAAAAAAGCATTAGGGATAGGGACAGGGACGTGTCTAAAAACATATAAAAATTTAGGGAGAAAAGTAATTTTAATCAAATTCACCAAAGTTAAAGGGAGTGTTTTCTAGGCAGAGCACCTCTGCAGAAATTGCTGAAAAATTGGGTATAAATTATCCTCTAGGTACAATTTCACATCTGTCTGTACATATATCCCCAAATATTTAAACCGTGTCATCCAGGTAAGGGGGGCAGGTAAATTTGACAGGGGCGACCCTCGGGTCAAAGGAAACAACACCGGCTTGTCCCAATTTATCTTAATTCCTGAATACAAACCAATAAGGTCTGTAATGTCCAAGGCAGCTGCCAAGGATTGATGGGCATTGTTCAGGTATAGGAGAGTATCGTCAGCATATAAGGACACTTTCTCCATCACTGGTGGTATTGAACGATCATGAACTGCAGGAGAACTCCTCAGCATCATCGCCAGGGGCTTTATGGCTAGGACAAAAAGACTGGGGAAAGGAGGCAATCCTGTCTATTTTCTCGGTGGAGGGGAAACAAGGCGGATAAAATACAACCGTTGTGAACTCTAGATGTAGGAGCCAAGTAAAGCAGTCGCAGCCATAATATAAATGTAGGTCCAAAACCAAATTTACTCATCACCAACCACAAGTATTCCCACTCCACTGAGTCAAAAGCTTTCTCTGCGTCCTGTGAGGCCACCACCTCTGTTCCCTCCCACAGTGTGGGAAATTATAGTGAGCAACCTCCGCAAGTTAATGCCAGTAGCCTTACCCAGCATAAATCCTCTCTGATCCCTATGTACCAAGAAGAGAATCACCTTATTAAGATGGGTGGCTAGGGCTTTAGTAAGGATCTTGGCATCCACATTTAAAAGTGAAATAGGCTTGTAAGAGAAACAGAGTTCTGGATGCTTTTCTGGTTTAGCACAACAATAATGGCTTTCAACATAAAGGGTGGTAAGGAGGAGGCAAGCAGAGAAGCATTCAACACCTTATGCAGTCTAGCAGCAAGAATATCACTGTGAGTTTTGAAAAGCTTGGCTGAAAGGTCATCGTCCCCAGTGTGACGAAATTAAATTTTTACATTTTTTTTACTGGACATGTTTAATAGCAAAAAATCAAATATATTGGTTGTTTTTTTTCAAAATTGTTGGCATTTTTTTGTTTTTATAGCGCAAAAAAAACCAAATGCACAAATACCCCCGAAAGAAAGCTCTATTTGTTGGAAAAAAAAGGATGTAAATTTCATTTGGGTGCAGCATTGGATGACCGTGTAATTGTCAATTAAAGTAATGCAGTGCCATATCACAAAAAATGGCCTAGTCATGAAGGGGGGTAAATCCTCTGGAGGGCAAGTGGTTAAAGAGATTTCTCTCACTCCCTGTTTTGGCTGTGGGACAGGAAGTGAAGGAAAATCTCCCCAATTGGACACAGATGGCAAAAATAAATCTTGCAGAGGTCATAAGCCTCCCTTACTCTATCCAAAATGAAAAAAAAAGGTTTGCCTTTAGTACTCTTTAACCCCTTGATCCGAATCGCTTCTCGGCCTTTTGGCTAAGATCAAGTGTAGTATCTGTTCTTATCAGTGTCCAGCAGGGGTGCTCCCCATCGTTCTAGCTTTGCGGGGATGATTGGTTGTATAGTACCCCTGCTGGTTTGATGGGGGTCCTGATGGTTAGTACAGGCTGGAGCAGAAACCGACGCGCCCACAGGCTCCTGGGGCCCTGGAGTAATTCCCCCTGGAAAACCGGAGGGGCCCAGTTCCTCCTGATTTGAATGGATCTATCTTGTCTGGCCAGGGGCCGGGGAGGCAGAAAGTCCGCGAACCAGTGCCACCTGAGTGGTCGCCTCAGGAGTGCTGACGTCCCACAAATATGCAGCTTCACAGAACTGGGCTTTTACCGTGAAGCCGCATATTTGCATACCTGTCTTTCTGCTGGGAGCGCGATCCACGAGCCCAGCACAAAGACCAGGGTGTCACTGAGAGCCACGGATCCCGTTTTAACGACCGGGGACCTGGAACTCCCGAATCTGGGTCACATGATCGTTGTGATAGCCTCTGATTGGCTATCGCAGTGATCAGTCACTGTATAGCGCGTCCCCCTTGTTTTGGTTTTCTCTATGAATGGAGGAGAGAGATACATTGTATCTCTCTAACTTCTGGCATAGAGAAACTTTTTTTTTGTAAAAATAAGAAAAATAAAGAAAGAAATATTAAAAAAAAGAAAGAAAAAATACCTAGATCATAGCTTGATCTAGTTCAGTGCCAGGGTAAGTGTTTGGGTCAAGGTTAGGGTCAAAGGTCAAAGTCAAAAGGTCAGAGTCATAGGTCAGGATTTTTTTTTTAATTGGTATCAGTGTCCGTTAGTGTCAGTGGCAGTGTGTTTTAGGTAAAAATAAAAACAAAATGCACACTATTTTATCTGGGCTGTACTACAGGTACAAATAACAAATAACATACACATATATGGTATTGCTGCAATCGTCAAGAGCTGGAGAATTTATTTTGGTTTGTTCTTTGGTGGTAGGTTATGGTAGTAAGAAAAAAAAACATTTAAATTAAAAAAAAATTTTTTTTTTTACTATTTTGGGCCAGTTTTCCTTTGATAATAAAAAAAATATCAAGAGATATCCATTACCATTTACCACTAAATGAAAGCCCAATTTGTCCTGAAAAAAATAAGGTATAATTCACCTGTAAAAGTAGTTGTGATGACATGTATGGTTTTACTAACACATGTCAACGTTGCAAAATTGTGCTTAGGCATAAAGATTTGTTTTACCCTTAGGTGTGAAGGGGTTAAGTACTTACTGGGGTTTATTTACTAGAGAGCTGGTTCACTCAGAATCTTGTGCACTTCTGCAGAGAAACCAATCAGCTTCCAGGTTTTATTGCTAAAGCTTAACTGAACAAGCTGAGGTTAGACGCTGATTGGCTGCATGTTCAGGAGCACCAGATTCTGAGTGAACCAGCTTTAGTAATTCTCCCCCACTGTTTTCTTATTTGCAACAAGCTAAGCAAGCTGAATTATTGAACTATTATTTTCTCTTTTTATTCCTGGCAGATCGTCAGTTCCTTAGGGACAAAGAATCAGTGGAAAAGCTTCAAGAGTCTTTCCTGCACATTTTGGAAAAGCTCTGCAAGCAAAATCACCCCAACAACCCTCAACAATTTGCTCGGCTTTTGGGGCGCCTCACTGAACTACGAACATTTAGCCATCACCATACCGACATGGTAATGTCATGGAGAGTCAGTGACCACAAATTTACACCCCTCCTATGTGAAATCTGGGATGTCCAATAACAAAGGAGTGATTTATCGAAAAAAAAACTGTGAATTTTGGAACTCTTAACTTCATATACATATATTTTCATAATAGACTTGATTGCTATTTTAATGCTATATAAATGTTATGTTAAAAACAAATAATTAACTTTTCTATTGTATGTATGTATATATATAATGTAAATGTATTTTCAGAACCAGTTTTCAAATTTTATGAAAAGAAAAGCAGATTAAGATCATTATTTTAACGGCCAGTTATGATAGGCCATGGGCTATTTTTTTCTTCACAAAATAAAGTTTCTAATTACATACTGTACATGAAATGATTTATAATGTGCTTGTAGTGACTTTTCATTTTCGATAATTTCATGTAGGGATGCTTGGTATGCTGCAGCCTGAGGTCATGATAACCATTTTTAAGGTCACAGTATCTTTTATCCCTGCCAATCCCACCCCCACTGACACAACCACAACCTTGTTTTTCTTGTATGCTTTTCAACATTTTCCTGTATGAACAGCATTCAAGAACAAATTCTCAGACACTTGAATGCTAGTTTTAGTGAAATAAAATACCAATATATATATATAGCAGGTTGCACTTATTGCATGTGTAGGTTTTTTATTTTATATATAAAAAACTATAAGTACTTGCTTGCTCACCAGGCCATCAATTTCACCTAGAAGCAGGGTGGTGGAGCCCTAGCCTCAAAGTTTCATTGTAAAATGACTGTATCAAGTGACTGTTATAGTGTAGCAGCTCTCTTTTGCCCAGTTTAGCAACATTGGGGTTCATGATGGAGTTAACTTGTATGGAGAGAAAGGATGAGAGCACAAAGCTGCAGTGTTCAGCCCAGATGTGAATTTTTAACTGTTCACAATAAAAAGGGTCTATCAAAATTGGTCATCCAACACGTTCCAGGGGCGATGCCCTCATCCCCCTTTATTAGGGCTTAGGTTTATTGTGCAAAATCAATCTGGACTGTTGATTAGTCCTGGATTTTTGTTATTTGTAAATAATATTAGCATGAAGCTCACTCGGAAAAGTTGTCTGGTGGCCATTATTCTCTCTATATCATTTTCACCCAAACAGGAGCAATGGTTTATGCTGATTTATAAAACGCAAAGCGTATGCAGCTTAGGGCTATGTACTGCGAATTCATAAACGTAAAGCCTACTTTTCCATCAGTGAATGTTTTGTAATGTACATATCCTCACCCCACATAAGCAGGTGAGCAGAGATTTTAGCTGTGAAATTAACCTATAGTCAAAGTACCACCCATGCTATCTTTATAATTGTTCTATGTTACACTGATAAAAGGGAAAACAAGCATAAACATAGTGCTGAGTTATGCCTAGTCTTGGAACCTGTGCCTAGGCTTTGGTCACATGGTCCCTGTTGACAGTATCAGTCTTCAGACACTTGCCTAAATGTCAGCTGTCCAAGTCCTTTGAGTGGGACAATGGGGGAGATTTACTAAAACTGTAGCACACAGAATTTTGTGCAACCATGCATAGTAACCAAACAACTTCCAGGTTTTATTGTCAAAGCTTAATTGAACAAACCAAGGTTAGAAACTGATTGATTTCTGTGCACAGCTGCACCAGATTCTGAGTGCTCCAGTTTTAGTAAATCTCCCCCAATGTGTCAGAGCAATGATTTTATAAGGAAAGCATTTCTTAACTTTTTGATGTTGGCTAGTCAGAGTTGTTTGCATAGAGATCAGCTTTAACTTATTATTATAATGTTTAATGCAGTTTAACAGTGGATACTTTTTACTAATTATTGTAAATGATGAAAGTTTAAAAATGCTTCATTACAGTGAATTAAAAAATAATAGCATAGCATGTGTTATTATTAAACAATAAATAACTACATTTATATTTTTTTCAGTCCTATTTGGATACTCAAAGTGTTGATTATATTGGTGACTGTACATATCTCAGGGTTGCCAAGTATTATATCTCTAAACAGAGAGTGAAACATACAATGTATCTAATGTATACAATATATCTAATGTATCTTCTCTGTATTTCTTCTCTTTCTAAAGTGTGCATCAAGAGAACATGTACTCAGATGACACTTTATTAGCTACAATTTCTGCTTTGTTGTTTCCTACTCTATACATTATCTAAATAATTCAAGATGTGTATGTAAAATTGACCCTAACATTTTCTTTTGAACAATTATATATGTCCAGTTGGACAAGAATGGCTTTTTTTTACAAACCTTCCACTATTGGATGTCTTTTACTCTTCACACTATTCTCCACACTGTGTGCACAAATATTTTGACCAAATCATCATGTTATGGATATTGTTCAACTCCAAGCTGTATAAACTTAAATGCTTATTGGATTTAAACATATCAGGCGATGTGTATTTCTGTAATGAGGGAGGGTGTAGCCTAAGGAGAGCAACACCCTTTATCAAGGTGTGCATAATTATTAGGCAGCTTCTTTTCCTCAGGCAAAATGGACCAAAAAAGAAATTTCACTGACTCTGAAAAGTCAAAAATTGTAAAAAGTTTTTCAGAGGGATGCAGCACTCTTGAAATTGCTAAGATATTGGGTGTGATCACGGAACCATTAAATGTTTTGTTGCAAATAGTAAAAAGGGTCGCAAGAAATGAGTTGAAAAAAAAAAAGACTGCCAAAGATTTGAGAAGAATCAAATGTGAAGCTACCAGGAACCCATTAACCTCCAGTGCTGTCATATTCCAGAACTGCAACCTATCTGGAGTGCCCAGAAGTAGAAGGTGTTCAGTGCTCAGAGACATGGCCAAAGTAAGGAAGGCCGAAACCCGACCAGCACTGAACAAGACACATAAGTTGAAACATCATGACTGGGCCAAGAAATATCTTAAGACAGATTTTTCAAGAGTTTTATGGACTGATGAGATGAGAGTGACTCTTGATGGAACAAATGGATGGGTCCGTGGCTGGATCAGTAACAGGAACAGCGCTCCACTTCGACTCAGACACCAGCAAGGTGGAGGTGGGGTACGGGTATAGGCTGGTATCATTAAAGATGACCTAGTTGGACCTTTTTTGGGTTAAAGATGGACTCAAAATCAACTCCAAAAACCTACTGCCAGTTTTTAGAACACACTTTCTTCAAGCAGTGGTACAGGAAAAAGCCTGCATCTTTCAAGAAGACTAAGATATTTCTGCTGGACAATGCTCCATCTCATCCATCGAAGTACTCCACCGGATAGCCAGTAAAGGCCTTAAAGATGAAAGAATAATGACATGGCCACCTTCCTCACCTGACTTAAACCCTATTGAGAACTTATGGGTCCTTCTTAAATGGGAGATTTACAGTGAAGGAAAACAGTACACCTCTCTGAACAGTGTCTGGGAGGCTATGGTTGCTGCTGCACAAAAAGTTGATTGTCAACAGATCAAGAAACTGACAGACTCCATGAATGGAAGGCTTATGTCTGTTATTGAAAAGAAGGGTATCTATATTGGCCACTGATTTTTTTTTTTTGTCAGAAATGTTTATTTGTAAATTTTGAGTTGTTTGTTTATTATTCTCGCTTTAACAGATAAAAAATAAACAAGTGAGTCCTCATGCACACTGGACGTTTACAGCTGCTCTTTTTGGCTTTTGACGTTCTTTTCTACAGCCAGTAAACTCCCCAGCATGTTATCCTGTGTGTCCATGCACACACAGACTGTAATCAAAATTTTTTGGAAGGGGTGTTTTTTGGCTGGAAAAAAAACCCTCGACTGGCTGTAAAAATGCTCTAACGCTGAAAAATGTGGTAAAACACAGTAAATCGCAGCAAACTAACATTTTTGGATGTTTTTTTTTTACACAAAAAAACAGTAAAAAAATGCACACACCACACAATGCGGCAAAACGTCGCTAAACACTAATACAAAAACACTGAAAAACTCACTTTACACAGCTAGCATTACCAGTGTTATTAAAACGCCCAGTGTGCATGGAGCCTGAGATGGAAAGATGTTTGTTTTTTTTTCATTCAGTTGCCTAATAATTCGGCACACTAATAGTTGGCCACAAAATTTGTGCACACATAGATATTCTCTCCTAAAAAAGCCAGTACCTCACTTTTACTTTCGTAAATATTCAGGTTTAAGGTTTATTAACATTTTGGATTGACAGAGAACACTGTAGTTGTTCAATAATTAAATGAATCCTCAAAAATACAACTTGCCTAATAATTGTGCACAGTGTATAACCCCTGCAAACAAGGCACCAGCAATCGTCCTATGGTCAAATTCAGTAAGGAGAGATCTTCTTTCCCATACTAATGTCTGGTCAAACAAAAACTGATGCTCTTAACTTTGCCTGCCTTATTTATTAAAATAAGAATCACTGTTTTAATAACTATAATATATATGAAAGTATGAATTAGTACACTTGTAATATTATTTAAAGGTTACATTTATTTTCCAACTGGGTAAATGGAAGCATTTACCAACTTCACTCTTCATTTATTTGTTAATTGATCACCCATTATTTACACTAACTCTGGGAAAACTAGTCCTACCCTGCAGTGGGGCTGCGCCCAAACTGCAAGGGTCAGTAGCGCCTATAGTCTAAGAGAAAATAAGTTCACTTTCACTTACCTGATCCTCCACTCCCCCTACAGATGGTGTTCCCCTATGCTCAGGCAGTAGACTGTTCCCTTAGCGTTCCCATGACCCATGCAGGGCTGTGGACCCTGAATCAGTCTTGATGACATCAGAGGACGTTATAACTGCTGGGTTATACTATACTAATTAAATTAAAATAGTTTGTCCTGTTATCTTATGAGAAATATTTCCGTGCTTGTCCTTTGGATATTTTCGCATTAACTGTCATGATTGGCTCACAAAAGCTGTGTACTTGCGATCATGTTATTGGACGATCGCTCCTAAAGCATTTATTTTCCATCCACTTTTCTCATCGTGTGTATTAGGCATCCAGAAATGTATCATTAAGGGTTAAAGAGGTTGTGGTTGATGCTGACCCTTACTAGGCTCTGGGGGATGGGATGAGGCTTTGGT